CCGGCCGGAGCGACGAGACAAAAACATTAAAACCCATTATAAACTAGGTATTTGTAGCATCCAGTGGGGACATAATTACTGATTATAATGACTTTTGCGTTGCATCGCGCCCCGTAAACATAAAATCATGTCTGCATTTGTGATTGGAGAAATGACAAACAACTAGCACTGCTCTACACTGCTCAAAACTCACATTTGAAAAGTCAGTGGCAAATCCTTTAAATATGAAAACGTACTTACAGGCTGTGAGTCAGCATTATTTGTCAGAACACCGGCATTGTAGGCTACTCTCCCAGGAAACAGTCCTTGTCCTCCATAAAATGTGCTGCACACATCTCAATATTTTGTTTGGACTGTTTTGGAACTGTGTTGTAAATACAACTTAACCACTGATGTCTAGTTGTGTCCTCTTTTGGAAGGCCAAACAAAGTAGTTTCGCTTTCACAACGAAACACACAGCGTCTCCACGACATGGCGGTGGCGGTAACAATACTACAGCGAGAATCAAAGTTACGTTCAGTCAGCCATGTCATTATAGCAAAATAAACCCAACAGTGTGATCAGGTCCCTGACCCAATGCTTAAGTCCTTTACTTAACATGCTTAGTAATGGAATACCACAAGGTTCGGTGTTGGGCCTTTGCTAAAGCAGATGATGTAACTTTGTCACATCTATTTTATTATGTTTTATTGTGTACATGTTTTATTACTTATTATTGCTATCATTGGTTGAGCCAAAACCCTACTAAGGGTTTTTTATGAGGATCAGAAGTGTTTGTTCCTGTGCAGTCATTCTGAAAGACATTAGAGGACATGTTTTAATGTTTGTAAACTGGCTCTGCTGCACCCTGTCACTGATCTGGCTGATCTCTTCAAGCTCTTGTCCTCATTAATGCCATTTCATCATGTGAAGCAGGTCTGCCTGTCATTCTTAGAGTAATATTAAAGACAACAGGTGACTAGGCCTTCACTAATACAGCCCGGCTCTTATGGATTAGTCTATGAAGCCATGTAGAGGTCTCAAAGCATGCCTCAAACCACACACTTGCCTAATCTGCTTTCTCCATTTGTTCTTTTTCTGTCCAGTTCCCTTAATGCCCATTTAATTTATCGTCTTTACATTTACTTTCCTTCATTTGCTGTGCTATAGATATATTTGTATTTAATGGTTTACAATTTACTTTTTTGATTTAGATCTTTGTCTGTCACAAAGTTAATGTCACATTATGGTGAAGTGCTCCTGAAATCCAAATAAATTTTAGCTTGAGGCCATAGGCCTTACTAGAAAGTGCAAGCACTGGTGCTCTCCGTTCAGTGAGGATGAACATAAAAGGACCATATGTTGCATTACAAAAACATAATCTCAATTTTTGCTTCAACATGCTGTAATGATTTTGACCAAAGATAACTTTCGGGAGACATCTGTGTCTCATTGAGTCCTGATGATGTCTCACCCTAGGTTTGCTAGCAGCAGAGTATTTGGCTGTAATCCTCTTATTTACCTGTTAATGTTTTTACCTCTCTGTCAAAGGTGTTTCTTTTATTTCTGGCTGTCAATTTTGTAGTATGACCAGTACCATGTGGTTGAGCTGAGGAACTCAGAAAAGTTTTGTTTGTTGTTCAGACTGGACTTTCTTTTCATGTCTGTTCAAATATGGCTAAGGTTGGCCTGTAATAGAGATTTGGCATACACATGTAAACAAGAATAACAGACCAGGATTATTTTTACGCTTTGCCTGGCTGTACATCACACACACCACTGGCTTTCCCAGCTCTGATTGAGGGTGGGAGTTCAGGCCTGGTGGAATGTACCACGTTGTAGTGCTCAGTGAACCGGGTAATGGTCATTCCAAGTGTGCTAGAGTATATTTGACTGTTTATCACAGCAAAAGCATTTGTGCTTCAGCAAACTTTTATGGCACAATTGGTTTTGCTTTTATTGTAATATCTAGATCTCTGTGTAGTGCACTAATACACCCTATTAAGTACATAATAGTGATATTAATCAAATTTTTCTGCAGATGACTCTGCGGATGACTCACTAGAATATATATATATATATATATATATACATATACACAGCTCAGTTCTGCAGGATGAGTTCATTAAACAGGATGAGGCTGAAATATCTAATGTGTTTCTCCAGATTTGCTGCATGTGAGAATGTTGCCAGCAGAGGAAACAAACTGGAGAAATGTCTCCCTCCTAACCATCTCCCCAACCTTTGAGGCTGAATTGGGGTTAGGGGCTTATGCACCTTTTGCAGTGGGTGTGAGAAAACATCCTTCCATAATATAGTTCTATCACAATGCAATTTTTTTCTCTCATTTTCAGGTGTTGATTTGTGTGGTAGGACAGTCATGGTTGTTGTTGGCAGGAATATTCCAGTTACAATTATTGATATGGAGAAGGTAAATGAGAAAATGCTTCCATTTATCATGTTCTGTGTATGACAATAAACTTCATTTTACTGATCGCCCTGTATTGAGCATATCTTATGTTGCACCAAATGGTACATACATTTAGTCAGATTTAGCACTAAATGCTGCCTAACGAAATGAAAGGTTAACCTAAATTTTTTTTAAAAATGAAGAAGAATTTTCTTTAAAAGAATGTTTGGCTCAAGATTTCCATTTAGATGTAAATCTTTTAGATTTACATTAAAAATTCTATTTGAGATTTGCATTTGTATCAGAAACTGATTTTATTTTATTCGATTTGTTTCTTTTTAAAAGATTGACTTGTTAAATATTTAATACACTGTAAACGCAAATGTCAAAAATTATACTGTACTGTTTAAAATGTTTATTTAATGGATTAGTTCACTCAAAACTAAAAATCCTGTCATTTGTTTACTCACACTCCTATCATACCTGTGTGGGTTTCTTGCCTCTGTGGAGCACAAGAGAGAATTTGAAATGTCATGTAGATGGTAAATGATGACTGAATTTTCATTTTTGAGTGAACTATTACTTAATAGTAGTAATAGTGTGTACCTACTTAACCATATTTGGGGGACAACTTTGTGCCGAGAAGTGAGTTAAAAATGACAATGTCCTCTTAAACATGTCCTCATTTGTTTAAAAAAATCCACAATGTAAAAATTATAAAGATGCAGAACATCTTCTGTTAGGGTTAGTTGTAGGATGTGGTTTTAATGTTAGGTCATAGCATTTTAGCTGTATATAAAAACAATAGAAGTCTGTGGAATATGCCTTTTTAGATAGCGAAGTAAATGTGTGTGTTTGTGTGTTAGGCTTTGCTGTATTTCATCCACGTGATGGACCATATCACGGTGAAGGAGTATGTGATGGTGTATTTCCACACACTCACTGGTGAGCACAACCACCTGGACACCGACTTTCTCAAGAAGCTTTCTGACATTGTGGATGCCAAGTAAGATTTATTTCTGTTCCAATACAGAGATACTACAAACCACCCACAATCCCTGCTCTCTATGACCTTACAATGTTTTTGAGATGACTTGACCCAGTTCTTGACTGAGGTATTCTTTAAAACCATAACTCCAGACTCACATGGAAAAGCTAATCACAGTTTTGTATAAATGCTGGCTTGGTGACTATTCATTTTTATGAGCTTCTTGTGCCAAACAGTACTGTCTCCTCAAACCCAAACACACCACATATGTCATGATAATCATAAGGGAATGTCTATATCTTGGGCTTCCTGTTCTTTGAATGTCATGAAGATTTGTACACAGAAGCTCAACCCTTTTGTAGGTTATGACAAGCTCGGAAAGCTCTGTTCAAACACTGCTAAGTCACGTTTCCTCAGTTTTACCTGCTGTTTCTCCAGAGTATCACTCTAAATTGGTGCTCAAATGTGTCTGAGGTGATTGATTCTTCTAAGGAAAGTGAAGTAGTATTGCTTTTTTTTAGAGCACTTTGGGAAATTTTGAAGGGGGTTTCTGTTTATCAAGGTTAGAACACTGATGAATCTGAGGTCTCGATGTTCTCCTCTCACCCAACCAATTGAGAAAAACCGCAAACTACCACCACCAGTGGCCTACAAACACCTGTATGTAGGATGTAGCTCCATGGAATGGCATTGTAATTGTGTTTTAAGAAACACATCGTTCTTTTAATCGAACAGTCCTCATAATAGCTATTTTCCTGGCTTAGCGGAAGAGTTTGAGTCTTTGTCAAAAGTCAAAACTGGCAGGTGATGGTGAGGTCAGGCATTCGTCATTTATTCAGGGGACACTCTCAGCATGCAGGCAGAGGAAACCTCAGTCTTGAAATAAAAAGCAGAAACGCTCTCCAGCTCCAGTCCCTCACACTTTCCGTACATCGTGGAGATCAGCGTGACTCATAACTTTGAGAGCCAGGCCAGTTTGACTCGTGTCATTTATTATGAGGGATCAGCAGAGCACAGCAGATCATCACTGTATTATTTATTCTCAAAAGGCATCGGTCTTTAAGAAAGTGTTTTACAGACATAATCCTCAGCAACAGTGATGAGGTTCTGTAATGGTTCTGTTAGCAATCACAGCCATGTTTATAGCCGAGTTAGCCAGTGATGCTATCACTCCCTATGACCCCTGCTCATGGGTTTGGACAGGACGGGCCAAGACCATCGTGGGAAAGTGGAAAGGTTGACGGACACGTCTCTTGTACTTTTCGAACACCCCTCCACTTCTGGCCATCTAGCCGTCCAGATCTCTATCCATCTGTGTGTTTTGGACAACAGTTTGTGGCTTGGACGTGGCTGCCCTGCTGGATGTGATTCACTGACTTTTTCTCGTTCTTAAAAAATGCGCTTTAGCTCTCTTTCTAATGGGTTTATTGTTTGTGTTAAGGCAATGATCCTTTCTAAGCCAAGTGCGCCAGAGGAATTCACTATTTGTGTAATAAGTAATTGTTTGGATGTGTTGATAATGTTTCAAAAACCATTTCTCGCAAGGTTTTCCTTTTGTGTTTTCAGGTTTAAGAAAAACCTGAGGGCTTTCTACTTCGTTCATCCAACGTTCCGCACCAAGGTAAATGTAATCAGTTCATCAACTCAGATGTAAGTCCATTAAAGGCAGCACTAGATGTTCATCTCATATTGAGCTTTTCTTTCCGGTTTGTACCGGCCTATGGTCTGATTCACAGCGGTCAGCTCCACATTTCGCATTGACTAAGAGAAGACTGTATGCGAGTCTGTGTAACAGAATATGTTGAAAAGCGTCTCTGAGACCACATTGAGATTCATGATGTTTCCACACTAAGTGTTCCATAGTGTTTCACAGAACCTATTCAGGTAATTTAAGTACTTATGAGAGCGTGTTGCCTCTGCCAGGCTTTGCTTTCATTTGCAAAATTATTCAACAATTATGCTTTATGCACTCCAAATGTGGATGAACCCTGGCAATTAAGTGTCAGATAATTGTTCGTTTTAAAATGCGTCCATTTCAGTCAGAGAATGCTCGAGCATTGTAACAATCCCAGGTGTGAAATGTGTTCAAGCATCAAGGCTGAGTCATTGGAGTAAATGCTGAAAATGACTAAAAACAACAGCTTTAGGAACTTAAGAGTTTGCCTTTAGCAACAAAACACTTAATTCAAGTGCAGCTTCACCAATTTTGTAGCTGTCCGTTTTAAATTGACCTTAAAATGGAGTATTGTCCGTTGTTTTCTTGTAGAGTTACATTTGAGTTAATTTACAATGGGTATAGAAAAGAATCACCCCCCTTTAAAATAATCACATTTTATTGCTTTGCAGTCTGAAATGAAGACTGACACGGTTTTATTTTATCCAGCTGTATTTACTCAGTGCAACTTATAACATCCAAGTGAAAGATACTGTATAACATGTCTGAAAAAATTTAAAATAAAACAGAATCACTGAGTTGGAAAAAGGATCACCCCCCTCCCCCTTTGACTTTCAACTGTAACCAGCTGTGGTCATTTTGATTAGAAAAGAGCTTTCCTGGAGCATTTCAGTCCTTGGTAGTGCAACTGAAGCGAACAATCAACTATGGTTGGCAAAGCACTGTAAAAAGACCTCTGTTAAAAATGCCTAGAAGCACAGTGAAGTTTATTATTAAGAAGTGGAAGGTATTTGGTACAACACATACCCTCCCTGCATCAGGACGTCACTCCAAACAAACAATTATGTGCATGTGACAACAATATCACAAATTCTCCACAAATGTGGCTTGTATGGGAGGGTTGCAAGAAAAAAGCCATTCCTCAAGAATGGCCACATTCAGTCACGACTGAGCTTTGCCAAAACCTTGAAGATTCTGAAGCAGATGAGACTAGAATTGAATTATTTGGCCTCAACACCAAACAATATGTCTGGCGGAAATCCAGTACAGCTCACCATTCAAATAACAGCATTCCTACAGTAAAGCATGGAGGTGGTAATATCCTGTTATGGGGTGTTTCTCTGCAGCAGGGACTTGTGAGGATGCAAGGAAAAATGGATGGTGCAAAATACTGTCAAATTCTTGAGGAAAATCTGCTGCCCTCAAATCTGTGGAATGACTTGAAGACTGCAGTCCACAAACACTCACCATCAAATCTAACTGAGCTTGAGCAGTTCTGCAAAGAAGAGTGGGCAAATATTGCAAAGTCTAGATCTGCAAAGTTAGTAGAGACAGAGACATATCCCAACAGACTAAAGGCTGTAATTAAAGCAAAAATACTGACAGAAGGGGGTGATCCTTTTTCCAACTCAGTGATTGTTTTGTTTTTTTCCTGACATGTTGGTGTTATATCTTTCACTTGGATGTTATAAGTAAATACAGCTGGATAAAACAAAAATTATCAGTCTTAATTTCAGGCTACAAAGCAACCAAATTTAATTATTTTAAAGGGGGGTGATTCTTTTCAATACCCACTGTATAATGTGAGGTGAACAAATAATTATAAATGATATTTATAATATCATAAATGCTTTTCTATTTCAAACAAATGCTGTTCTTCTAAACCTTCTATTCTTCAAAGAATCAATGAATACAGAGTTCATCAAATAATTTTAAATGTAATAATTTAAAAAATAATATTGTACCAAAATAAATTGTGTTTCAAGACCAATTTTTGTACCCTTTTCATGGAAAGTGCCATCTCAGTCAATCTAATGCTTTTATTTGTGATTCCTGTCAGGTCTCTACATGGTTCTTCACAACATTCAGTGTATCAGGCCTTAAAGAGAAAGTCCATCACATAGAGAACCTCCAGCAGCTCTTCACCTGCATCCTGCCTGAGCAGATCGACATCCCTCCTTTCGTCTTGGAGTATGACACACGGGTGAGTATTCAGTCCTTTACCACGCTACAATTGTCCATCGAGGATAAAGGACGTTACACTTAGAAAAAGATGTGTGTATGCAACTTGACCTTTACTAATTATTTTGTATTTAATCTGTATTCAATTCTGTCAACATTTATTCACCGTCACGTTCTTCAAAACCTGCATTACTTTCTTCTCCGGAACACCAAAGGGAGAGTTGAAGAATGTTTTAAAGAATCATTTAATCCTGTTTGTAAAACTGGTCTGACTTAAAACATGAAACATCATCTTTGTGTTTCACAGAAGAAAGTAAGTCATAATATCTTGGAACAACATAAGGTTGGGTAAATGTAAATTTATTTTTGAGGTCAACTATTCCCTTAAGAGAGTTTAAGTTTTGATAAACTGCATTTTAATGTTTAAGTCTTCGGGAAACTTTTACAGAGAACCAGATACCCCTCTGTAACACAAATTCCCCACAGTCACACGTCAACAATGGCTTTTGCATTTCAAGACAAGTCAACTTTTAATTGTCATTATATGCAACTACAATTAAATTCTTGATTGCTTCTTCACAAATTATAGACAAAATAGTTCTAGTATACTGTACTACTAAATAAAAAATGAAGAAAAATAATAATACAAATACTATAAAGTGACACTGTCTGTAATACTTAAAGTTTAGTGAAAGTGTCATGTTCTTAAAAACATGTTTAGGAAAACTATTAAGCTCAAACATGCAAACGATTTTCTCTATGCCTATGGTAATTGAAATGTACAACTTGTGACCAATTTTAGATGCAATTATATGCAAATTCTTCAAACTAGTTTCCCTGTATGACCTGTTCTTTAAATGCAGCCTTTAGCAGTTTTATTTTTGGTGATATAAAAATATTCACTTTTTTAGTTCTTAATGAGGTCCTTTTTTGTTTTGAAATGGATTGCGTTTGGCTTGTGGAAAAGAGATGCTTAGAGGCTTATTTTTAACTGTTGACCCAAAGTATGGGTGGAGGAAAGTCTTTCCCCTCAGACTGAAAGAGGCCTCAGCCGTCTGCGTGCTGTGCTGCTGCTGCTTGCTCCAGCTCAAAGGAACACATCGCATTTTATTTCTTAAGATTACTCTTCAACTTATGTGGGATAGGGTGACATATTTAAGGAAACATAGAAACAAAAAGTCAGTTAGTTTCTCTGGAATATGAGAAGAGAAAATGGGAAAATTATGGCTGTAGTCATCTGGCATTGCAGAATCTCATATTACCATTATAACGTATCATTTAACTCGACGTGAAGAACATTATGTTTAATTTAGAAGTATGCGTTACCTTTGCTACCACTGTTGAATCCAAGCAAACTGATCTGACACTAATGTGATAAACGGATTTGTCACAGCTAATAGCAGACCATATCCATGCATTGATTTGACCCATCTGGACTGCACTCATTATTTAGTTGATTTTCATCATGTCATTCCTGAGCTCTTAGTTTTGCAGTGTTCTCACAGCATGCACATAAACATGGCATTCTTCTAGAGTTTCATTCTAGGTGGGTGGTGTTACTTAGCGGTTAAAGGTCTGGGATGGTAACCAATAAGGTTAGGTCCAAGTCCCACTAAGCATGGAATTGAGCTACCACCATTATGCCCTCACTTTACCCCATGGGCATTGTTCCTGGTGTGATTTGGTGTCCTCATTGATCTAGGATGATCCGATTGCAAGTGGGTCCAAAATGTTTTGTGGTCTGAATCTCATTCAAACTACATTCAGGAATGCATATGACCACATCACATATGTAGTGTAAATGCTAATCTTATTGCCTCTAAGACAGTAAAGAACCACCTACTCCGCATTGATTTCTGTCATCTTTACCATCACACCTTTTATTTCAAATTCCACATAAACCGATCATTACACACGCAGCTATGTGACCCAAAGAGTAGAAGTGCCTTCTGAAAAACAAAATTATATTCCTCACTGTATGGTCATATACGTTTTTTTTTCCCCCTTCTATATTTTAGATGTTGTTTTTTTGTCTTTCTGTTTTGTTCCTGGATTAAAGGGCACTGGATTAAAGTAAATGAAAGCGGGAAGGAAGGCACAAAGGTGAGGCAGCTGTGAAGAATCGATCACGCCACTAATGCGTTAAATGGATGGTCTTTCTCGCGCCAGGTGCATGTCACCCTGTATTTATGTGTTCCCTGAGCAAGAGTGCAGACATACAGACTTGATTAGAAACATTTTTTTTTTTCCTGCAGCCTGTGTGTTTGTATTTCATTTGCATGAAAACATTTTGTACTTCTACTTCAATACGTTAACACAAACTTGATGACATTTTGGGTGAAAATGCAAGCTTTAATAGGTATGTCAGATTTTAGTTTTTATCCCTGCACTCTTCCTGTGAGAGTAAATGTCAAATCAAACTTCAGATCAGATGGTCGTCTTCAGGGTGGGGTTTCACAGAAAAGCATCTGAATCATCAAAGGATCCCTTAGATATATACGCCAACAGGGAATATTCCACATGTTGCTTCTGTTGAAACAAAAGGCTTTAAAGTTTTACTTGACGATTCATTTGGACTTTTTATTAGTACTGGAAACTGTGACATTGGAGACTTTGTAGAGATTGTTGTCTTTAGGGAATATTAGTCATTTTATAAACTAATGTGTTGGTCACTTGAATGGATAAACCTGTTTTCTTTAAATGTGTCTGACCTTATTTTATGCTAGTATAGCGTGTGTTTTTGGTCTCTTTGCCTTAGCTTTGGATTCAGTCCTGGACTCCCTTGCTTCAGTATTTCCTGTCATTCTTTGATTACCCAGGAAGTTAATGGGCAGGAGGGGAAATGGCAGAATGTGTAAGCTTTTAATGCCAATTGCACTCAGCTTTCTCTCTTTGCCCATATGAATAGATGCAGTGCCATGGAAAGTCACCTCAAATAACCCAGTCAACTTTCCATAATGCATTGAAAGGCCCCTAAATGGTTTTTTGTTTATTATTATTTTGGACTATCACCTCTATACTACAAGCATTGTTGGGTAGTAATGGTCTACAGCAGAGTTCCTCAAATCTTGCCCTGGAGGGCCAATGCACTGCATAGTTTAGCTCCAACCCTGATTAAACTCACCTACCTGTGATTTTCTAATGATCCTGAAGATATTGATTAGTATGCTCAGGTGTGTTTGATTAGGGTTAGAGCTAAACTCTGCAGGAAAGTGGATCTCGTGGGCCTGATTTGAGGATCCCTGGTCTACAGTGTGTAATTTGGATTATGTAATCAAAATACAAAAATCTTGTAGTTGCATTGTAGAATATTAAAAATAATTGTATTACAGTTATTTTTGTATGGATATCATGATTGCATATTGATTATTATCAGGCAACAGCAATAAAATAGTTCCTCATGTGTTTATTGGCTCAGAGGCTAAAATATGTGACCCTGGACCACAACACCAGTCATAAGGGTCAATTTCTGAATAAAAAAGCTTTCCGTTGATGTATGGTTTGTTGTGATAGGACAATATTTGGCCGAGATGCAACTATTTGAACATCTGGAATCTGAGGGTGCAAAAAAAATCTAAATACTGAGAAAATCGCCTTTAAAGTTGTCCAAATGAAGTTCTTAGCAATGCATATTACTAATCAAAAATTAAGTTTTTATATATTTACGGTAGGAAATTTACAAAATATCTTCATGGAACATGATCTTTACTTAATATCCTAATGATTTTTGGCATAAAAGAAAAATCGATAATTTTGACCCATACAATGTTTTTTTTTGGCTATTGCTAAAAATATACCCAAGCAACTTAAGACTGGTTTTGTGGTCCAGGGTAACATATGTTCGGTAGGCCTTCATAAAATTTCTGAAGAAAGCAGTAGCAGGAACACAAACAGACTTGATCCCAGCCGACTTTGTTGTAGTGCTACATACATAAAGCAGTCTCATTCCTCATTTGACCACATACAGAAATAACTTTCAACGAGACGTATTGAAAATGTCCTTGCGTTCCGAAACATGCCTTAAATCCATCACAAGACTCCAGTTTAAACTGCTAATGTTTAATGAAAGGATTTTTGGTATCTAAACAACTAATTAATTCTGACATGTTTTGATGAAAATTTTAAAAATGGGAAACTTTATATGAGGCTCTTTGTCTCAGAATATATTATTTCTGTCAAATTAAATTAAGGTGAGATTTTCTTGTATGTGACTCAATATAAATACAGAAATCTAAAAAAAAAAAGAATAATATGAAAAATGACACAGCGCAAAACCACATTTGAAATGTGAGAGAAACCCTGCGCTGAGCGATCCTGTAACGAAAGAAAACACAAAGCCCCAACCCTCTCTTCATTCGCACTAAAGCCACACAACACCACTTTGCACTTTTTTCTTTGTTTTTAATGAATTTCTTGTGCTCTTTGAAACAATTTACAGCATAATCTCTTATGCATTCATTTGACCCGAAGGCCTGAAGCACCTCTGTTAGATGGTCCTCACAGCTTTCAGGAGGTGAATCATCTGCTGTGCTGGGAGTCATTCAGTAGCATCCAAGCAGACACTCATTAATTCCCAGCACAGCACTTTCCTCAAGTGCTCATTTGGCTATTAGAACCCTTACATACTACTTCAGAATATCCTAGAAACCACAACCTTTATTAAATACTTGTAATAAATATTTACTTACTGAATATTTGTATTCTATGGTAAATACAACCTCTTGAGTTTGATTTACCATGCAGCTAGATCTAAATCTATCATCATATTTGTGCCGACAGGCTCTCTAGGATGTAGGTGTGTCTTGGGCTTATGTTGTGGTGACAGGGGCCTCTTGTCAATTTGCCTTTGGCTTTTTACAGCGAGCTAGTGCCTCTCAGCCAATCCGTGAACAAATGTAACCCTTACTACTGTATATCTTTATTCGACTGTACTTATGAATATCATATCTGCTCTTCCAGGTTAACAGCCTTTATTACACGGCTCAGTCCTCAGGCCTGTGATGGTGTCAGATAAACCCAGAGCTGAGGAGTTTGACAGGACCTGCCACTTTTCACCGGGCAAACACTCAACCCAATGACCCCGACTCTGATGTGAACAAGATGAACACAGACAAAAGTGCATCTTTGCCGTTCCTGATGGGCAAGTTTTCTCTGTGATGGTGAGAGACTCTTGATCAATAATGCTGTATAAACACATCCTGCTGAACGTGCTGTCACTGAAGGAACCGCCTGCCTGACCCAAGCTGTTTTTGGACAAGGTATGTTTGTGTGGTGTGTGGATGAAGAGACTGAATTTGACAAACATACTAAACCAATGTTTTGTACCAGTGTCTGCGTGAATAATGGCTGGAAATAGCCGAAACAATTCTGGTTTGAATTTCTTATGTCCTTGTCCATCATCTGAAAGCCTCATATTTTGCTGTTTTGTAGTTTCATCTCATTTTGTCTGCAAAGTCACTAGAAGGAGCAGCATTTTGCTTTTATCTTGATTCTCTCTTTTTTTTTTTTCAGTCACCAAGCACTTTTACAGCTTTATCTGAGGTGTTAAACAACCATCACTACAGTTTCTTGAGGTTTGACAGGAAGCAACTTTTCCTCGTGTGTGAGCGATGTGATGTTGGAAAGATTGCTTTGTAAAGCTCTAATATCAGGTTGGCCTGTTGAGATTTCCATTAGCCTAATAATAATACTCCTTTCTTCTGTTCCTTTAAGTATGGTACATCAGTGTTCTGGTGGCTTCACCTGAGGTACACTAAAATCTTGCAGTGCACCTGTTTGTGTTTCGTTTTAAGCAGATTTACAAGCTTGGCCAAAGGAATATCACAGACAGAGGTCTGATCTCAAAGTGAAGCACTGTAAATAGATCATTGTAGATACTACAGATGCTTTCTGGTATTATTAATTCCGTTTTTTTTAGTCTGCCCTTACTGTAGCCATGCAGTGATTCATGTGCTAAATTTCATACCATTTTAAATGAAGTATGACGTATGAATTATGATGATGAAGAAAGTAATATTTGAATAAACAGAATATAAACATTTGATGTTATCATTAATCTTTGTTTGCGTGTCTTTATTGAATTATTTTGTGTAATTGTATGATCAGTGTATTTTCAGTTTGTCAGCCCTTTGAAATGGGTTTCAAATAAAAGCAGCCTTTTATTTTCGAATGGTGTCTCAAGTATTTTTTCTTTAAAATGCTAGATTTTAAAATTTAACTACATTCTATTTCATGAAAAAAGGCTAGTTTTATCATTTTTGTATGAGGTTGTGCCATCTTTCAAATTATTGCATAGTCTGCGAGTACTTGTGATTTGCGCAAAAATAAAGTTTAATCAGAATCAAATAATCGGAAAAGTATAGCTGTACTTTTATGACACCACTCTCCAAACACCGTTTTCTATAAGATTTTAATTAATTTTTTTACAGTTCAGAAATCATATTGTTTTAAGCTCTTTTTGTCATATTACAGTGTCTGTAAGTTGTTTTAAGGGAATGAATTTAAGACTTAAATGGAATGCAAAATTGTTTTTGAGGGTTGAGCAAAAGGATCAGTTCTAAACCTCTTTGCATATCTAGCTGCAGCAATTCCTTCCCCATTTTTATTTATTTATTTATTTGACAAAACTCTGTTGAATTGAGTGGACAGCCCTTTTTAATGTCCATTCTCATATTCACAGTCAGATTGGTCCAACAGCACATGATATACTTCTGTCGTGCCGTTTGTTTTGAATCATTTAAGCAGTGCTGGTAAGGCAGCACTCAGTCCAGCAGAGTGCCAGTGTCTCTGAGGTGGCGCATGTGGCGAGGAAAATGAATCCGTCTTCAGCAGAGCTCTCACCATGTCTGAGGGGTCAGCAAAGAACTGCACTGCACTGAACTGGACAAGATTGCTTTGGCTTTATACTGTGAATCAGACCGAGTATGACAACATCATCAGGAATCAGCAGGGGTATCTGGGAAACGGGGACATGACAATGTGCCTAATCATCACTGGCTGGTCTGCAGGCTTACAAGAGCTGTCCTTAAATAACCCTCCTTACATCAGTCATCATTTAATCAAATGCATTATTTACCTTATATATTCATACTACAGTTATTCTCCGTTCCATGTGTTTTCCAATCATTAGTTAGTTTGGACATGATTCATGCACACAAAATAATAAAGGAATAGTTCACCCCAAAATTAAAATTGTAATTTTACTTGCCTTCATGTCATTCCAAACTTTTGTTTTGTCATCTGCAGAACACAAAATAATAATTTTGATATCCAATAGTTTCGATACCCATTGATTTTTATTGTATTTTATTGAATTTTTTATATAAGCCAATGGGAACGGAAACCATTTGTTTACCGACATTCTTCAAAATATCTTTCATGTTCTGCAGAAGAAAGTCATACAGTTTGGGAATGACATGAGGGTAAGTATGAAGATAGAATTTTCATGTTTAGGTGAACTGTGCCTTTAAATGTGAATTATGATCTCATGGTTCTTTATCACAATGTTTGCCGACATCTGAATTTGTTGCACTAGAAATAGACTGAAGCGATCCGGTTTAAGCAGAATGAAATGAAACAGACTGATTGACCCTATAGGCAGCAGGATGATTAATTGGGTGAATGAACATAGACGCTCGCTCTCTTTTATCCGTGCTGGAACTGAAAATATGGCATTGATTAGCGCAGACCATCTGCTTATTGTACTGCTCTTGTCTATTACTGCTGAAGTTGGAGGGCAGCACGGGTCACTGTGCTGTGAGTATCACTGCTCAGTGGGGGGCAGCAGCACACTTACTACATTTCTGGGTTGTTGATTCATAATGTAGAATATTACATTGTTTATCAACACGGATCCATTTATTGTAGAATTCTGCCTGTAAATGTTTCTGGGAAATAATATCATTCACGCACGGAACGTTTTGGCGCGAAGATGTTTATTTGAAACGCGACAGCAGGAAACTTCATGAAAGTGATGATATAAGCAAACAGTAAGTCATTTTTACTGACTGACATTTATACGGAGTCTGAGGTAACTCCACAAAAGCGAGGCAAATTAAATAAAAAAACAAATTTCCAAACATTTTCTTTCCATGCCTGCAGTATCGGATACGAGTTCATAAATCAAATTCGAAAGATGACATTCGGTTTTAAGTTAGAAACAGGATCCTGGCCGTATCTTATGGCACGTTGTCAGGAGTTCATAAGACTGTGATATGCAGGAAGTGGCAACAAGAGTATTTTATCAGTCCAGTTACTGTTAAAATGCCAATGGAAATGATACATTTTGCTTTATTTTCTTTGTGCTTACAACCATTCAGCTTTTTGTCATTCTCAAATTTGATCTTTTCACTCTCTTTGCGAAAATAGCATGATTTTATTTATTTTGCGAAAAATTATTAATATTGTAAATATTAAAAGTAATAAAATGAACATGGATGAATGTAGGAGAGACCAGGATTTGTAGTCACACTTTCACTCCATTTATATTTGTTTATTTTTGATAGTCAGTTTATGAGTATATCTTGAAGTCTTGATAGCAACTGAATATTTCCACTGTTATTGCCAAGAAAAAAGATAAAGCATACTGACCACACAGCAAGGTAAGTTGTCACAATGAACTAGACATGAAACAGCCAATTAAAGTTTTTTTTTTTTTGTGGCAAAATACAAAAATTATAATAAATATAGCTGCAAGCAGCGATTTCCGGGGTTCAAGCAGTTAAGGCATTTAAGCACATAAGGAAAAAGATTTTGTGTTAACATGGCTGTAATCACCTAAATCAATGATTAAAAACAGAGCTGCGCATTTTTTTTTACACGTACTCCTACATACGTGTACCGAGTTTGGTGAAGATATCTCATTCCGTTCAAGAGTTATACTTCAATTAACATTTGGCTAACGTTAGCATAGAGGCTTCTTGGCGTACTCTTTCGCGCAAAAATCGAAATTTCAACTTTTTTTTGATAATTATTGATAGTCAGTGTCCAGCGAATATTTCTGCAGTGGTGTGGTTCCGATCGGGTGAAAAGACTAGTTCGCAAAAGTAGGTTTGGGATATAGGTCAATTTTACGGAAAAACCGTGCGTCGTAGAGAAAATCTGTCTGACTACACTTTTGTTTGTGTTGACCCAAGGATTGCAACGATGTAAACATTTTTGAGTCTACGACAAAAGGTGTACGAGTTAGGGCCAAAAATGTCTGACATTTTAGTTTTTTGCGCTGTAGCACCCCCCTTTGGCCAATTGGGGTGAGCCTTTGTCAGAATGTCCCCTCAGTGAGCTCTACCTTCTGGCCAAGTTTCAGCTCTCTAGGCCTTACGGTTTGGTCTGCACGATCAGTTTTAGCGGAGAAAAATAATAATTAAAAAAATCCTTACAATTACAATAGGGTTTCAGCACTGCGTGCTTGAACCCCTAATAATAATAAAACATTAATGATCACTATCATCATCAAGCAGCAAAAATATAAAAGGTAACAAAAAGCATGGTTTTGACCAACAAATGTTGCAAAAGTTTGTAAGCAATTAACAAAATTAGTCTTTGTGACAAAAAGCCCCTGGTCTCTCCTATAATATACAAAAATTACAATATGATGAAGCATTTTATTATAGACTATTACTAGATCATGTCACACTGCTGTCAGTTACGCAAGCATGTACATTTTAAAGACTATCTTTCTGAAGACAATCATATGGAGTTTGTGACTCAGCGTAAAGCGTGTGGGGAGCTTGAGGTTGCGGCTCACAGGTTTCTGAGTACCGTCAAACCAGGGGGAGGTGCAAAGGAACTTTGGGAGGTGTAATAAGATTGTTTCTGAGAAATGCTACAGACAAGGTCAAAAAACACCCAGCTTCGGTAGAGTTTACTCCCCCTTACCCTACCCCACCTCTCTCATTCTCTCTGTTTCAGCCACAAGAACATCTGGCATCCCTCCCTTCATCTCTCACCTGTTTCTCAGGACCTTGAGCTCCTATAAATGGAACCTCTTGAAAGATGTTGATGCAGGCAGTTAGTGTTTGAGCAGCCTGCCCATTTCCTGGCCAGGAAAGACAGTTTGCTTAAGCTGCTTGATTTCTCAGAGGATTGATAAGTTTGCCACTTGCACCTTCTGCTTATGTCACGCTGAACCCCCGTGAACTTCGACAGCCTTATGAGAACGCCATGGGAATATTCTCTGCAGGTACTGCTCAACATATCATCACAAAGAGGATGTCAAACACACAATAATGTGTTTATATTTTCTTTAACTGCTCCTGATACAGTAGCAGTAACCATTACATACATTACATATTAACTACATACAATTTCTAACCTGGGAAACAGACATTTTCTTCATTCCACATACTAGTTACAGAACTCTTATCTCCTTTTTGCCTCAAAAACACAGCGGGTCCTGAAAACAACTAACACAGCAGCTTGATTGATAGTTTTGTGGGAATAAAGTCTCGGTATTCATCTTTTATAGTCTTGTAATGGTTCACGGAAATAAAATTTAAGACTAAATAAAAGTTGATCTGACAAGAGGCATAAATATTATGAAGAAACACATGCTCTCCCCAGCATAACCTCTGTATGCACAGAAACCTGGCATGTTTTATACAACATAGGCTGTTCTCTGCGCAGTCAAATGGCCCTTATGCAGAACGGCTGGTTATTTCAAACAGGGAACTTTCTCTCAGCCATATGTCTCTTATAAATGATAGCAGGCCTACTGGAGAGAGGGATTCTCTAGATAATGTGCGGTACCGCTGTAAAGATTGTGCTGTGTGCTGTGCTTTCATTGTTTCACTATACATGTTTCTATCAGCACTGTTCTAGAAATCAGTCATTGTTGGCCAGCTATTTTCACTCAATTGTTCTCGCAGTGGCCTCCAGTGACTGAGCAGAGGGCCTTAGTGGGAACATCAACCAAAAAGTTTCGTGGTCTGTTGAGGAAGTACAGACGTTCCTCTCGTTGATAGCAGAGGAACGGATCCAGCGAGAGCTTGATGGGGCGACACGGAATTAAAAAGTTTTTTTAGGAGTCGTGGTAGTAGAGGCGGCGCAGTGAACTGCAGAGGAAACGCAAACCGTGCCGAGCCGAACCGTGCCGTGCTGAGCCAAGCCGAGCCGAGTCGTACCACGCAGTGGAAAAGCGCCATAACTGTCCTGGGCCTTTGATTATCAACCACACACACACCTGCATGTCTTTACCTTTCATTTGAGTGCATGGAATATGGGAGAGTTCCAGATGTTACCAAGTGAACTGTAAAAACAATTCCTCCCACAACATTGTGTTAATGTGCACAATTAAATGTAACCATGGAAATGTAATGAACAGAATTCCACCATACAGTTTTTTTTCTAACAGGCATCACAACCATGAATTTAACTTGCTCTGATAAGAGCCAAAGCAGAAAGCTTAAAATAAATCAATAAAAAAACTATTTATTATTAATAAGTTTTTTTTTTACCTACCCACCTTATAAAACTTATAAAATACTTTAAAAGGCATATGTACATATAGATATATATATTTTTTTACTTTATTTTATTTTTTATAATACATAAAAATGAATGACTTGGTTTCTTCAGTAGAACGCAAACAGATTTTTAAATCAAAACTGTTGCAGTCTGTCAGTCGTATAATGTAAGTGGATGGGAATCACGGCTTTGAGAGTCATAAAACATACACAAACAAAACCAAATTAAACCCTGCTGCTCATGATGATACATTGATGTGTAAAGACACAAAACGATCAGTCTGTGCAAAAAACTGTACAGTATTTATATAGTTTTTTACCACTGATTTTCACCGCAATGTCTGAACTGTCCTGAGTTTGTTTGGGTCTTCTTCTTGCTTTACGGCGGATGGCAGACTTAAGTGCATTACCGCCACCTATCTCTCAAATGGACCATTGCGAGCCGCAGGGTTTAATTTGGTTTTGTTTGTGTATGTTGTATGACTTTCAAAGCCGTGATTCCCATCCACTTACATTATACGACTGACAGACTGCAACGGTTTGAGTTAAAAATCTCAGTTTGCGTTCTACTGAAGAAACCGTCACCGACATCTTGGATGCCCTGGGGGTAAGCAGATAAACATCAAATTTTCATTTTTGGGTGAAATATCCCTTTAACTGTAATACAAATGTTTGGATAAATAGAGACATGTGGTCAAGAATAAGAGTTAAAAGCCTGTTTATTTACCATTTAATTTTCATTTAGCATACAAATAAATGTAAATCAAATACATGTACCAGTAAGGGCTAACTAAAGATTTGAATTTTTAGCCCACTGTGATGGATATAGATCAGGACTATCTATATCAGCCACAGAGAGAAGCTCAGGCCTGCAGCAGAGACTGCTGATTCATACTTGTGCTTTTAAGGGCAGTGGAGCAATGCAGCGGAGACCAACACCACAGGAGCCAGAGAACCCTTGGGAATGAACACCTCAGTGAACCAAGATCATTCAAACACTTGAAACTATCAGTCTCCACCATTATGAGAAAACACTGGAAGAAAGTGTCCCTCCATCTCAAATAGCAAATCTACGGTCATAGTCATCACTAAAGTTCGAAGTTTTTATTTTATTGTAATATAGGAAAAGAACACAACTTTATAGAAAAATATCTATTATATTTATATTTTCAAAGAAAAGAACATGAAAAAGAATGGGCTTTCAATACTTTATTTTTCCCCTTGATACACATTTTCCTTATTCTCAATTCCATCCAAAGGAAAATTATAGTGAGGTAAAAGTGCGGAGAAACAAAATGGCATAATGAATCTACATCAAATCACCACGGCGACATCAGAGAGCCGACATAACTATTTCAAAATAATAGTGCGACTTCCATTTTTCACTTTTTTAAACTCACAATCATTAGCATCCTCACAGACAAACAAGACAAATAAAATCACAAAAAAACGTAAACAAAATCTGTTGAAATCCACAACTCTTCTTGCAACATTGCAAAAGGGCTTCAAAAAAGGCCTCAATCATCATTAAGACTTGCACTTTAGACAAGCATGTCCAAATCCAATAAATCTCCCCTGCACAGTTACAGATGCATTCAGAGCTGTGTAACATCTTTGTCTACTGAATAAAGGGTAACACTGGGGAATATGGAATTACAGCTGACAGAGGGGACAAAAAGAAAAGAAAAAAACCCCCCAACAGAATATGAAATTCAAAAACAAAAAAAAGCATGTTTTCCCATTTTTAACACTCCCCTTTCAAGAAACATACTACACAGACTTCAAAAAGGAAATGATCCAAGCCTCATCACACCAGGCCTGATCTATGTGAAGCGCATTTGAACAAGATAAAAAGCACAAAACATTTTTTTTTGTTTTCATACATGATCAAAAAAAAAAAAAGGACAGATTAAGGTGAGATTCTGTTGACCAACCACTACAGATCATACAAACTAGCTTTTACACAAAAAAGGAAAACCAGTTCAACAATAGTACTCGTTCCTGATGAGGCAACATTTTATGTACTTTAAATTCCTTAGTAATACAATGCTTTTAAAACGGTTTCACTTTTCAGGAAGTTGGCTGAACAAGAGTGGTTACCCTCAAGACACACTGTAGCCCTTTATCATGTCCCTGAGACACCAAAAAAAAAAAAATGGGCACCTTATAGCTTGTCACAAGGCCTGTAAAGTGCATTCATTGACATGGGTATTTAAACTATTTCAAAAAATCTGATGGCATTCATACTTCTTCACCCTTGTTTAATGGACCGGCAAAAATCTATTGACACAAAATTGTTCTGAAACCAGAGGATGAGCTACAAGGTCTTTACATTGGTTTCATACATGGAACCCAAATGGGTCACCGCAAAAAAGGCCCATATGTGCCGTGTTGCTGGTTTAAACATTGGTTTAGTCTGCATGTCCCAAAAAAAAAAAAAAAAAAAAAAAAAAAAAAAAAAAAAAAAAAAGTGTGGTGGCCAAAATACAAAACAAAAACAACTTAAGAGTAAAAATCCATTCCAGCTCAATGCACTTTGGGGTGTAACCCACTGAATGGGAGGCCATGTGACCCGTCTCTCTTTACCCTAGAAGTCTGTGAGTGCAGATAAGAGAAGGAACGTGGCTCATGGTTATCTGGTGCATGTGCTTGTACAAGCTGAAGCAGCAGGAGCTGTGGTGCGTGAGCAGAGGTGAAGAGGAATCCTGAGGGGCAGGGGGCAGCTGTCGGCCATTACGTAAGAGCAGCTAGCAGAGTACTACCCTTCTCTGAATGGACGAATGTCGAAAGAGGAACTACACATGGGCATGATGGGGGGCCAGGACAAGAATAGACATTTACATAATTTAATACTGTCTAACATACAAAAGGCATGGAACTGGCTTAACCCAACTGACAATTGCAATGTTTCTTGAAGCCATTACATCAAATTCACTGACAAAGGACCAAGACAGGAGACATCGAAGCCCAATAAAGATCAAGAGCAGCAACCCCAGCAACATCAATTAGATCCAAAACTGGAAAGGAATCCACACTGACATGCATTTAAGTCCATGTGAATGAGCACGGGTATATTCCTCAGCTACGGCAACCCCTCCCAGACCTCAATTACCAGAAAAGGCTTTGTGACATACCAGCGTTCAATCCTCATCTACAGTGATGCTAGTCAGAAGCACAGGAAAGACAGTTGCCCCACTAGAAATTCCACCCCACATGCTGTCCATTCAAGGCACATCCCGAGGTGCAGGAAGGGATAATTTTAGAGCACGGTGACACTATTTGGCTTGGCTAGGCTGTTAGCTGGAGGAGGTCTTGTTACACATAGCTGTGTTAAGTCTGCTAATGGTTACAAAAAGCTCAGGAGGACAAATCGTCCAACAGCTGAACCTTGTATGGACAAACATGACCTCTCTATCCCACTTAAACAGAGATGAAGAAAGGTTTAACCACTAGAGCTGAAAATATTAATTAATCTTCATAAAAATGGACTGTTTAACTGCTCTCTCTGCTCTATGGGAAAAGGAAAAGCATCTTTTTTTACATGCTGCAACGAAATTCAAATTTCAGTCTCACCTTTGATGTAAACTTGTTCAGTCTTGCTAGTTACAAATGGCACAATTCTCAAAAATGTACTGTGGAACACAAGTCACCTATATGCATTCACACAGCAAACTGAAGCGCATTGCTATGAATACTTTAACATGTTTCTGTTCACATTTCTATTTGAGAACAAAAAGAATTTAGCTGCCCACCAGTGTACCAAAAAACGAACAAAAACTGATAACCTCCTGATAACCCAAGTCCTAAAATACCTATTATTTCACCTGTGCTCACATTTTTCATATCTTTTTCTTTCAATTTTTTTGTATTTTTTTCTCTCAATTTCTAAGAACATTATTTCTTTTTTTGGCCTTTTTATTTTGTAACACACGGGAAAAATATTAATTCGTCTCAATATGCATTTTCTTTCATTTTTAAGGTTAGAATATATTAAGGCACTATGGGAATTGTTTCTCTTCAAAATGGAAAAAAAAAAGAATCTCTCAAAGGGCCTTAAATTCGTCTTCGTCTGTGGGCCTAAAGTCCCTCACCAGGAGGTTGCAGTATTTGAGCAAACCACCTCCGCGGATCTCCTCCGGCCGTTTGGTGGCAATGAGCTTGTTCCTGAGGTGGTCCAGAGCCACAGCAAAGTCGCCGTACACGCTCTCCCCGACCACAGTAGGGTGGAAGTGCCGAGACATGGGGTTTTCTGAGAAGTCGTAGTATGACAGAACAGAGTCCAATATGATCTGAAAGGAGTCCACGCTGAACTCAAACTGTCTCCGGATTGAGTCCACAAACTTAAGTTCCACATTGCGGCCGTTGTTGTTTGACAGCGAGATGAGGGACCAGCGGTCCTGCTCGGTGTACACTTTGACCAGCTTCTGGACATAGGCCTCTTTCAGCGTCATGGGAGTGATCTTCTCTTTGTTCACCCCCTCTGGCAGAAAGTCCAACAAAGTGCTCAGAACCACATCTTTGATGAGCTGGAACTCCTCTTCCCGAGGAAGGTCTACCCTGAAGATGACATCCAGGTCTTTGTAGCTCCAGCCAATGTCCTTTACCAGCACGTGGCTGGCGGTGGAGCCATTCAGACGTACATCTTTGACCATGATACCCCTCAGCTCCAGACGGTTCCTAACCATCTGAACAATGTGTGTGTGTGTGTGTGTGTGTGTGTATAAATGATTCAATGTTTTATGTTTCTCACCTAAAAACATTAGTATTTTAAGAATTCCTAGAAGTATTTTTAGGACTAAATAGAAGTATTTTAAGAAATCATTTTAAAACAGCATTTTAAAAAGTGATTAAAATGTACTTATTTGCTCTTATTTAAATCAGATCATTCTGGATAAAAAAAAAATATTTTGAATCAAATTAAAGCTTATATGGTGAGGCTCTTACAATGGAAGTAAATGGGGCCAAATAAGGGTTAAAACTTGTTTATTATTTAAGCAGCAAAGCTGCTCTTTTTCATTTTTACCATTGTTTTAGGGCTTTATGTATTTGTGGGAACAAAGTTTGTATTCCTTTAAGTATTCCTTTAAGAAAGCGAGCAATCTGAAAAATGCTGTACATTGAAGTTTATATTTAAGACACTGAAGCTATAAATAGTTCAGAATATTCCTTTAAGATCTATTTTCAGTGTAATGCGGGATTTCAAAACAGTAATTGTTCAGTCTCATAGTGGTTTGGCGCTAACCAGTAAGCATGCATAATACTTATAGGTATAAGACATTTCTGAAGCTATATCTGTGTTTCTCTGATTTCCTTCTACATTGTTACTATATAGTACGTAAACTGCTCTCGATCTGTTTGTCTTTTTCGCAGCAGTGTGAGGTGTTCGCATGCAGTCATGAACTATGGGGGGCAGCGGTGGAGTGACCCGGTGCAATCGTAGGTTAATGAAGCACTCATTGATTTTATGTAGCTTGAAAGCCAGGGCAGGTTTACGCCTGACAGAGTTATGAAAAATGTAGTCCCAGTCGAATATGACCAACCGCTCATCTGTCCATCCATCTTTCCTTAACCTCTTTTCTCACTCTGAGATGAATGCATTAAATAGTCCCAAAACCTCGTCTTATTCACTATAACAAACTGCAATTCAGCAAAAGTAGGCACTAAACGTGTTGGAATAAGCCATTAATAACAATAATCCATTGTAATTAATTCAGTGCAAACATGCCTCCTTTCCATTTTAATGAAGAGCATTATATATTAAAAGTCATGTCTATTTCAAATCAAAGTGTCTATCAATTCGATTTATTACTTCCCTTCTTACATGTGATGTAAAGTCATTGATTGGACAGACATAATTTATTGTTTAGCTCAAAAAATGATGAAGGTCGAGCCAAATTCGAAGTCATGAAGCTACTAATGAAGACTAACATTCACTGACCTTGCTCACCACTAATCAGGTAGATAATAATGTGTTTAGTTTATTTTTGATATGGCAGGCAAGCATAACAGCTTGCATAATTCATAAGCTGGGTTTTGCAGCTAATTGGGTTACTGACAATCTCATTAGAGTCCTCTGTAGTTCTCAGAACACTCTACCTATTGATCAGAGGAATCGATACGACACGAATCTATTCGTCACGTTCAATAAAACGCAATCGCGCTGGGAATAAACACTTTAGTGACTTCTCCATTCATCTGCAAATAAAGAGAGAAGGAAAAATGGGTACAAAGTACAGAAGACGTGAGAGAAGTGAATCAGACATGAGAGTGAGGGTGAGCGAGAAAGAAAGAGCTAAAACTCCTCTCATTCCACAACTCATCAGTTCCACTAGGGACCGCGGGATGCTTTCATGTGGAGGTGCATGCATAAATAAGCAAAATTAATTCAACAAAGAAAACTCCCGAAATAGACCTCTCTCATCCTCCAATCACTTTAGCAAAAGCCTCACCTGCTATACTGGGGAGCTTTCTTTGAGAGTCTAATACCTAGCAGCTATATTAGGCTCATTCCATGAATATAGGGTGTAAAAAAAAAAAAAAAAAAAAAAAAAAAAAAAAAGGGGAAAAAAATAAAAATTCAAAATCACTAAAATATATCACTTTAAATCAGAAATGTCTTGGCACATCTGCAGAGAAGGAAATAAAAGAAAAAAAAGAAAAGAAAGGAAACACTTGTCATTTTAAATATCCTTTATGCCTACGGAAGGAAACATCCTTTACTGCCATATCCGGCTTTCTGGCCAACTCATGGATTTTGTTGTTGAACAAGCATCTTTGAGTCTTAGTTACAAGGCAACCAAGTTGGAATGGACTGGTTACAAGAGGCCACATAGTAGTTGTTGAAGTTCAGGTCTCTGACATATGGAGCCGGCTGGTAGTAACAGGTGACGCTAGATGCATCAGGTATGGCATTCTGCTCGGCGAGCACCCGAAACGCCATCAGCGAGATGAGGTTAAGCGTCTGCCGCCTCTCGTGTCCCATGAGACACACGGTGCTCTCGTTCACGACCCGCCGCAGGATCATGAGGTAGTTGTACTTGCTCTTCTCCTCACCGACAAAGTGGCTTTGCAGATAAGCCTCCAGTTTGCGCTGTTGCTCACCAATGTCGGGAAAGTCAATGAAGAAACGGGAGCACATGTAGCGCTCCAGGGCCTTAAATTCGTCTTCGTCTGTGGGCCTAAAGTCCCTCACCAGGAGGTTGCAGTATTTGAGCAAACCACCTCCGCGGATCTCCTCCGGCCGTTTGGTGGCAATGAGCTTGTTCCTGAGGTGGTCCAGAGCCACAGCAAAGTCGCCGTACACGCTCTCCCCGACCACAGTAGGGTGGAAGTGCCGAGACATGGGGTTTTCTGAGAAGTCGTAGTATGACAGAACAGAGTCCAATATGATCTGAAAGGAGTCCACGCTGAACTCAAACTGTCTCCGGATTGAGTCCACAAACTTAAGTTCCACATTGCGGCCGTTGTTGTTTGACAGCGAGATGAGGGACCAGCGGTCCTGCTCGGTGTACACTTTGACCAGCTTCTGGACATAGGCCTCTTTCAGCGTCATGGGAGTGATCTTCTCTTTGTTCACCCCCTCTGGCAGAAAGTCCAACAAAGTGCTCAGAACCACATCTTTGATGAGCTGGAACTCCTCTTCCCGAGGAAGGTCTACCCTGAAGATGACATCCAGGTCTTTGTAGCTCCAGCCAATGTCCTTTACCAGCACGTGGCTGGCGGTGGAGCCATTCAGACGTACATCTTTGACCATGATACCCCTCAGCTCCAGACGGTTCCTAACCATCTGAACAATATCCTTCAGCCGGACCTCCAGGGTGGGAAAGTTGCCACGTCCGTGAACCGGCACGGCCTCCGTCAGCACGTCGTTCAAGCGGCTCACTTGCTCCCAGGTAAGCACACTTTGTGACTCACTTTCGCTGCTGGATGAGGCTGAGGCCATGTTTGCCATCTATGCAGTTTCCTGGAATAAAATATAAGTGCAAAAACAATTTCACTGACTCAATAAATCTTCAAAAAAATCTCTTAAAACTATCTAGAGTAAATATTTAGTTCGATAATTAGCTTGAACTGAAATAAAACACTGTGTACTTAAAGAACATTATATACAATGTCCAACAGGTTCACCACTCTCTCATAACAGAAGAGCTAACAATGATTCACAGGCTTTCCAGAGGGCCAAACAAACTCTAAACAGAAACTGAAGCATTTATAGTGTGACACACTCAGCTGCTCCTCAATTAATTCAACATGATTCCCAATGAAAAACATAAACTAATCTCAAAAGAGCACTGATCAAATCACGCACACTAAAACTTAAAGACACGTCTAAACCAAATTACATTCATGGCTTAAATATCTTGTCAGAATATCATCATCAACATATCAATAGTATAGAATTTGTACAGGATTCCCATCATAATTTTAAAACAACCAGAGGAAGAATTTAAAAGGATACAACAAGATTAAAATAAAAGTAAAAATATATAAAGTAAAAAATAAAAAAAAAAGCTTTTTTTTTTACATTCCCATTGATGTCTTACTAGGACATTTTATCATATTGGTAATAAGTTTATTTATTGAAAATAAATGTGTTAGAAAATATCAGATTTTTATCTTTTTATGTTGGAATAATAAAGAAACATTACAGTCGGAATACTTTTGGATTGGTTCCAAATTATGATGGAATTACACATTAGACGAAGATAAAGATACATGGCGGTCTGCACGCGAACTCAACAATATAAACTTTATCATAACCACAACGTAAGTAAATAAAATCATACGTACAATGTTACAAACACAACGCACTTGGTTGGAAAAAAATCTAAACGAGTTTTTTTATTTATACATCATACTCCGAATAAAGGACAATCGTTTAAAACAGCGCACGTGAGAGATCAAAAGAGCCCCAAAAATGCGCGAGATCAGCGTTCAAACCAAATACATTTAATCCGAAACGCAAACTTTAAAGTGAGCCGTCCGACTGCATCCGAATCACACAGATCCAACGCGTTGGTATCAAGTTATAAATATGAATTATGTCCACCTACTGTTCTCAGCAAATCCACCTGAAGTGCTCAGCAACGTGGTCGGCACAAAGTAGTGAGTGTCAAATAGGGTTTCGCACCAACACCTCCATCCATCCGACCAGTCGTCAAACGCTAGAGCTTCAATTCTAAAGAGCACACACATGCGCGCTCTCTTATAACTGCCTACTAAACAACCTGGTTCTCCGCACCTCCACTGCGCACTATTTTTCTGAAGCCTTGCCATCAACACACACATCATCACACATAAACATATTTATTTTATTTAACAGATAAAATCATAAATAATCTGTCTGTATTTTACTTACCATTACTCCCATGTTAAGGTCCGCAATACAAAACATCTATGGGCTAAGGCTCTATATGGAATTCAAAAACATACGGCGTTCTATTCGTTGGTATCAATGCGCCAGGCGAAGCCTGTGATTGGCTGAAGAGGTTTTTGTGTTGCCAGGCAACCACAGGCACGTGTCGAATTTGACGTCCGGCTTTTGCAGAGAGCAAAGCAGGTTATAACTAACTGGAACACATTTGGTAACCTGAGGTTTGAGATTACCTCAAATATTCATTTTTTTCAGAAGGTGCATTAGGTAAGCTTGGCATCAGTTAAACATATTTAAAGCTCAGCCTCTTCTTGTTGT